ATAGGTAGAGCCTTCTAATTAAGAGGGTCATCAAATTAAGCTTTTCTGTGTTCCACATGTAATATTCTCCCATGAGGGGATTTAGTAAATTCCATCTCAGTTTGTACTAAATTTGTGTTTTCTCGTATTCCTTAAAAATATTATTTGTGGCTGTTCCTGCAGGTTTTTCTACAGAAGCAAATCATTCAATAATTACCAGTTCAGCATTTACTTCTCAAACAGACTCAAATGAGTAGTGTTGGTAACATCTGTCAACTCACTAGGAGCCAAGGAAAACCATGTGGAATATTTCAGTTGGCTATAGATGTTCATCTCATTGGTTCCAATGTCTAAAACTACTGTTTTAACTCAAAGTGCATAGCTTTTAAATATCATCTTCTTTTTCTCCATTTCTGCAAATGTGATTTAATTCAGTAATTATCCTTCATGACTTGGCTAACAAATATGCCATATGGAAACTTGTAAGAAGAAAAGGCCTAAGAGGAGCCAATCTGGAGTCTGCCTGAGGGCCTAGCAACAGGAGCTGTCAGAGGTCCTGATCATGCCTAGCCAATGAGAGGATCAGGACACAGCCTGGGTGCTGGGAGAAGAGTAGTTAAGGCTCTCCCCATTGCTGAATAAAGGAGTCTGCTGTTTGCCTTTTACCTGATTCTGTGCTGTTGATGTAGCACCTTCTCACCCCCTCCCCGGAGGGAGCTGGTAGGATCCAGTAGCAGAAACTAACTTATGTTACATCCTCAGTTGTAGTGGAAAGTTTCTCTGATCCCACCTGGCCCCACAGCCCCTCATCTGCTTATAAAATAATCATTCAAAGGCTCAATATTATTTACGTATTTATTTATTATATCTTAAATAAATCCATTTCTATTAATCTATGTTTTGCCACGTGTTCTGTGGCTTTACCAGTCTGCTGGCATGTTGTTCCTTGGGCGGCAGGCTGCCATCTCTCCAGATTCTGTCTTTATCTTTCCTGCCTCTCTCCTTGGATTTCCTGCCTGCCTCTAAGCTGCCTTGCCACAGGCCAAGCCAGCTTATTTATTAATCAATGGGAACAACATATATTCACAGCATACAGAAAGACATCCCACAGCACTCAGTTCATTGAAAAGATGTAAAGAAATTGTACTGTAATCACATTTTTAATCTTTATTTTTTTAAAAATATGTAAGTTTCAAATATTGCAATAAGTATTTATTAATGAATCTATTTTCTATGGCTATATAATTACTAGATGCTTGTGGTTGTGCTATAATTATAGCTACATCTCAGTAGTTCTAAACCCATGGCAGTGTGAAGCACAAAGATCTCAGAGACAACTACTCAGTCAGTATGTTGGGCATAGCAGATCAACAGCAAACAGACAAATACGTAAGTCCATGCAGATGGCAGGTTGCCTTAGTTGGCCCCTGGAGACAAACAATCCATTGGTGACACTGAAAACCTACCACGTGAGGAGTCTTATGCAAAGTAGGCAGCATCAAAGAGATGGTCAGCTGTCTTCTCAAAGAACAGTATCAACATACCCTACATCTTTGGTCTTGCCCAACCTGGTTATACCCAAGACTACACCTTATTGCTTAGAAGGGTTTCAAGCCACTTTCCATAGTGCCAAACCAAAGCATCAGATATCTCAATACCAGAAACAACAAATTCAGCCAAGTCGCTAGTCGGATTACCACTAAAGACAAACGGTTATCAGGCAGCCTCATGGCCGATGATTCAGTGGGCCTATCAAGGACATGGAGCCTTTCAATTGTACCCAGATGCTGTGCCACAAAGAATTAGGAATCTGAGTTTTAAAGGGAGGGGAGTATCTCCTTTACTATGCTCAGGCAACTAAAACTAGAGAAGAAAATTCGATACCTCCAGCCGAGGAAATTTTGTGGCAAACATTCACAAGACTAGTTCTGTCAATACCTTATGATTTCATAGAACGGTTGGATGATGGAAAACAACTCAGGAATGTAAACAGTGTAAAATTTCTCCCACTTCCAGTTCTCTTCAAATACAAATAAATACAAAGAAAATTGTTTGGAAGCTCCCTCTTGTATAGAAAACTGTCATGCTTCTAATAATAAGCAAATCATATAGAAGGAAATATTTATTAGAATTTATTTTAAAATATTTAATGTTCATTATTCTTTAAACATTATATAATGAGTTCCAGGCTAGCTGGAGCTTTCTAATAAGATCCTGTCTCAAAAAACAAAGCAAAATTATATTCAACTATGTGTGTGTGTGTTCTTGTGTGTGTGTTATTGAGACATGTCTTTGATGTTTTTCTGTCAGCTTAGTAGCTGCACATGCATCTACTGATATTGTAATTATTGTTTGTGGCCCCACAGCCCAGCAGTCAGTGCCTCTCCTGCCACCCAGGCCTTGGCCTGGAGGGATTTCTGGTCCCAAGGACCCAGCTTACTCAGATCTTCATAACTTGCCAAGGCTTTCCAGTTTGTTTTTTAATTCTGGAGCCACCCAGTCATTATCATCTTCATATATCTACGATTTTCTTTACTAAGGCCACTTCCATATTTACATGTTCTTTTATGTACTCCTTCCTTTTTCTAATACTATGAGACACAGGAACATTAACAAATATATTAATGTTCTGTTGTGAGAATTTACTCCCTATTCAAGGGGGTACAAAGCAATGTGTATCTCATCCTTATAAGTCCTAATGCCAATGCAAAGTGCAATTTTACCAAAAGTCTGCCATGGAAAACCAATGAGTTTATTGCTCTTACTTATTGAACATGGTTGAGGGGATACAGGAGTTTGGATACTGTGGTGGTTTGAATCAAAATGGCCCCCATAGTCCCACAGGGAGTGGCACTATTAGGAGGTGTGGCCTTATTGGAATAGTTGTGTCCTTGTTGAGACACATGTTGAGAAAGTTGAGAAAGCATGTCACAGACACTTTCTGCTGCCTGCTGATCTGGATGTAGAACTCTCAGCTCTTTCTATAGCTCCATGTCTGCCTGCATGCCACCATGCTTCTCTCCATGATGATAATGGACTAAAACCTCTGAAATTATAAGCCAACCCCAATGAAACGTTTTCCTTTATAAGAGCTGTCATAAGTCCTGATGTCTCTTCACAGCAATAAAAACTCTAAGACAGATAACCCAAAAGCAGTCACACAGGAATGTCTACACCTAGTATGTACAATGACTTTCTCATAGCTGCAGATGTGGAGCTCACCTTCCCTCTACTCTTCCACTGCCCATGTACCCCAGCATTACATTACATTTCTCAGTGTGCATAAGTGGTAAGCCTGATAGCACTCAAGGTAAATTCTCACTTTTAAGGTAACTTTCTCATAGATGCAGATGAAAAATCTACCCCCTTGCAAGTCTTTCCCAGGATATGTTCCTCTATTCCTCCACAAAACCACAAGGTCACATGTCATTAGGGTCAAATTGCTTACAGTTGCCTGGGAAAGAAGCTGTATGTTCAGGAGGTGGGGATACCTCCTTCTATGATGGAATACCAACAGTCAGCAAACCTGGTGGTGGTCATCCTTTGCAAGCAGGCACAGCTGATCATAGGAAGGTGCCAATTGTTTGTCTTAAGATAGCACTGAGCAACAACAGTTAAATAAAAGAAAGCCAAATAGAAGCTGTGTATAAGATAATGTAATAAATTAATATTTCCTAGGTACAATCTGTTAAACTAAACCTTAGAGAAAACACAAGACAGTCTACATATAATATATGGCATCACTACTATAACCATGCTTTTGGTTTTTAATGGGTGCAAGTAGACAATACAAAGAAACAGCAAATACCTAACAAAACATTATCAAATTGATAAATTGATGTGTATGCATCCAGCACAACACAATTAAGAAATCCCTCTTAAAACTATCATGCTCCTGCTTACTATAGAGAGACCTTTACACAGAGGGTCGCTTTATCCTTTCCATGGATGAGAATCCTATTAGCAGTTTTTGCCATAGACATGTGCCCAATTACAATATACATAAAAGGTGAACAAACATTTACATCCTAGCATCCTAATCCCTAATAGGCCTGGTTAACATACTACTTATCTTTGAGGTATTTAAGAGGCAGCCCCCACCTCCCTGGCCTTAGCTAAATTCTTTGTGTACTTACTATCTCCTAAGCATTGGTAAATCCTTTATATCACCAATTCCACTCTTCTGTATTACAGCTTAGTAGTGGAGTGCTACTCAGTACATGAGATGCCATTTATAACCTCCACAAAATTAACTCCAAATGGATCTTTTTGTTTTGTTTTTTGAGACAAGGTTTTTCTGTGTAGCTTTGGAGCCTGTCCTGGAACTCACTTGGTAGCCCAGGCTGGCCTTGAATTCACAGAGATTCGCCTTTCTCTGCCTCCTGAGTGCTGGGATTAAAGGCATGTACAACCACCGCCCGTCCTCCAAATGGATCTTACCCCTAAATATCAAACTGAAAGTGCAGAACTTCTATAAGAAGCTAGGCCTCTCTGAATTTGGCAATCTGCCTAGGCCTTGGGAGGTTTCTCTAAGGCCGTGATGTTTAGAAAAAGAAATAGAACTCCTTCTCTAAAACCAGGAATATGCTTGGGAGAGCTGGTAAAGGTCTGTGGCCAGGGCTTTTGGGGAGGGTTGGCTTCAGATGCTGTTCTTTCTGCACATGGGGCTGTGGTTATCAGTCCCAGGGCCACTGTGAACTTTGTTTATAATGTTCTTGAGATACCCCGTGCTCCTCTTGTGCAGCATTGTCTGACTAGCCTCCTTCTGAATTTGTATACTTCCTTTTAAAACTGAAAGCCGTTATTAACAAGAAACTTGCTGTTTAATTTGGCACAAATCTCTAGCCAATATGAGATAGGCTTGTGCTTTGGGTGGAAGCTATGGCTGGGAACTACTGCGCTGTGTCCTTCAGCTCACCCAGTCTCCAAGGGAACTACTCCTGTCAGTCGGCCTCACTAGCCAATCAGGATGCCCAGTAGACCTGCCAGTCAAGTGGGCGGGTTCTTCCCGTTTCCAGACTTTTGGCTCAGCCCCTCTGCTGAGGAAGTAGGAAGTTGGTGCAAATGTTCCGCAGTGGCTGCGCTGCGGGGAGTTGTGGGGAGAGCGTGGGCAAATCTGACAGCCCCACCATGGTGAGCAAGGGGCTGCTGTCCCCAGACGGGGAGGAGGGAGCAGCCATAGTGTGCGATCGGTCGTTGTCCCCAGACTGGGAGGAGAAGCCGGCTGAGCCAGGGAGCCAGTGTGCTTGGTCCTACCCCCAAGCTGGGTGTGAGCCAGCGGCCAGACGCAGAGTTCGGCATGGTTCTGCCTGGTCTTGCCTGGTCTGCCTGGTCCTTGTGACTCCCTAGGCCTGGGTGGCAGCCTCTGAATAACTTCACTCCGCGGGCTGAGTCTGTGCAGAACACTGGGAGTGGGACTGTGCTTAAAAACAGCCTGTTGTTGACATCACTGTGAAATGTAGTGCTTGCATTGTCTCTATGGAAGGCAGATTTGCCAAACTCGGAGAGTCTCTAGTAGCTCTCAGAAATTCTGCACTGTTAACACTTAGGTTTGTGATCTGTCTGAAGTTAATTTTATGGTGCTTGTAAACGGTATCTCCTGTGTAGAGTCACACCCCATTGCTAAACTGTGATGTAGAAGAGTAGAATTGATGGTACAAGGATTTACCAATTCTTAGGAGACATCAAGCCATATAAAGTAAAATTTAGTTAAGGAAGGGCTGCCTCCCAAATACACCAAAGATGCTAACCATGCCTATTAGATTAATATGGTTAAGATGTGTATGTTTGTTCCCCAGCATTAACCAGCTGTAAATCTACATTCCTATAACAATGTTTGAGACAGGGTCTCCAATTTGCTATCAGATGCCCATAGTCTTTCAGGGTTTCTCCTATCTGCTTCCTATTTTGCCTTAAAGTCATTGGATTATTGTCATGCACTGTTGCAACTGGCTTTACAATTCCTAAAACTTGGCTTATTGCTATTTGAGATGTCACTAAAAAAGGGATGTTGTCTCTGTGTAGGCAGTCTACACAGCAAGTTTTATTAACTTTGTATAATGGTTAATATTGTCAACTTGACAAGATCTATAATCAGCTAAGAGACACTCCTTCAGGCACACCTTGAGGGCTCATCTAGATCATGTTATTCTCGGGGGTGTGCTATGAGAGATTAGCTTGTTAAATTCATTGAGATGAGAAGACTCATCTACCAGAAGTGATAGTACCACTCCATTCCGTGGTGTTGGTACTGGATTATGTAATAAGGACCAAGATTTATCACTGTTAGGTTCCTGGCAGTGGATACAGTGTGATCAACCACCATAACCTGCCACTGTGGCTACTTTCTATAAAGCTCCTTCCACCATGGCAGCTTTCTGTAAGGCTGCATCTTAATTTTTTAGTTTTGTTTTGTTTTGTTTTTCCAGACAGGGTTTCTCTGTGTAGTTTTGGTGCCTCTCTTGGATCTCACTCTGTAGACCAGGCTGGCCTTGAACTCACAGAGATCTGCCTGACTCTTCCTCTCAAGGGCTGAGATCAAAGGTATGTACCACCACTGCCAGGCTATAAAGCTTCTTTTTTTTTTTTTTTTTTTGGTTTTTTCGAGACAGGGTTTCTCTGTGTAGCTTTGCGCCTTTTCCTGGAACTCACTTGGTAGCCCAGGCTGGCCTCGAACTCACAGAGATCCGCCTGGCTCTGCCTCCCGAGTGCTGGGATTAAAGGCGTGCGCCACCACCGCCCGGCTTTAAAGTTTCTTTTTATTCATTTTAAAATGTATTTTTTTGAGTGCCCACATGTTCATGCAGTAACAGAAAGTTGAATAAGATAGCACCCAAGCCAAGTATGGTGTTACCACCCTGTGATCACAGAACTTAGTAGGCAGAGGAATGAATTTAAGGGTTTTAATTTCATTCAAGGACTGAGTATGGGGTATGGAGGCAGATCTGCAGGAATAAGTGAGACTATGTGATGGGCTCAGACAAATGTCCCTCAGTGAATTCTCCTAGACTCTAGAGCAAGCCTGTGGGCTGCTGGACAATCCCACCTTCTAGGCTCAAGGTGTCTTCTTCCATGAGGCCTGTGAACCCCAAGATCTAAGTACTGTGAGGTGTGAGTCCCAATTGTATTGAATTCAAAGCTCACATTTCTGCAGTGGCAAGAACTCATAATGTGTTGGGGTCAGGGATGGGGAGGAGACTGTAACGGGCTGCTGATTGGGTGAGGCTAACATCATTTTGCCTCTTCCTTGCCCATATCTCAGTGTCCTTGTCACTTGACTGAAGGCAAGTCAAGCTCGTTTGAGGCACAAACAGTAATTACAAGGCTGGGAACAGGAGCAGTTTATCAGTCACCACACAGTATACCATCTCCAAGAGATCATGACTAGATGACCCAGACAGTAGAGTCTCCAGGGTGCTGATTCTGGGACTCAGAGACCCAGTGCCCTGGGTCTCAGCTCCAGTGCCCTGGGGCCACTCAAGTGTTCTCCTGTCTCCTTTTGTCCTTTCCCATCTCCTTCAGGTCTCCTCCTGTCTACTAGGTCTCCTCTCCCCCTCCTCTTTCATCTCCTAAAATTCAGTAAGGTGTCAGGTAAAAAGTAGAATCAGCAGGCAGTAGGATGAAGAAATAAGAGACTACCCTTGTTTGCTGTCTGGCTAGAACCCAGACTGGTGTGGAATTGGCTGGGATTCTTCTGCCTCAGTGTCTTAGCTGGCCATTTTACTCTATAACATCTTCCACACTTCATGAGTTTCAACCCTGGATCTCAAGCTAGCAGTGACATTTTGCAGTTTTGCAACCTTTAGGAAATACAGCCTCCTTTGAGAAATGGATTACTGTGGAGTACTCAAGTTTTATACCCATTGGAAATTTCTATTTGCTCTCTGATTCCTGACCTTGGACTCAACACTGGAGCTAAACTCCCAGTACTGTTCCCAAATCTTTCCCTCCCTATTGGAGTATTTCTCCTTGGAACTACAAGCTACAATATACCTTTCATTCCTCATATCACATATTGTTAGTTATTTTGTTGCTGCAAAGAGGAAAGTAATTCAAACAACTCTCTCATGTTCTACTTACTGTAGGACAGAAGTATATTTTCATGTCACTAATTTTTGAATCTAAGTATCAGGACACATAGACACACCTCATATAGTCAGCCAAGTCAGTGCCAGGTACCACCTCATACCCAACTGTTTATCTTTTTGGATCCTGTGGAATTGTTCTTACAGACAATTGTGAGCTGTCATGTGAGTGCTAGGAATGGAATCTGGGACTGCAGAAAGAGCACCCAGTGCTCTTAACCACTGTGCAATCTGCCCAGCTCCTCTATTCTACTTTCAGTAGAATGAAATAGACTGCTGTACACAGGAGATTGGAACTAGGAGGACCATGGGGGCATCCTATGAGAAAGCTGCAGGTATTCTAGTGAGCTGGCCTAAAAGAGAGGCTATGTGTGCTGCAGCTGATAGAGCTGAAAGAGAGGGAATAACTAAATCCTTTGGAGTCCAGGCAATTTCATCATGATCTCAAGATGCTGGACAAGGTGCTATAAGATTTGATATTTGCCCTGCTAGATTTTGGTCTGTTCGTTCCGTGTTATGCTCTGATTCTTTTCAGTGGAATAGCAATGTTCATGCTGGAAATGTAATGGTATCATTTAAGGATATAGTAGAATGTGGTCTGATAAAAAGTAGTTGTTGTTCTCTAAGAGTTGAAGAAATATGAGGTGGTTAAATGAGAATGACATCCATAGACTCATATGTTCTAATATTGTTTCCCCAATATGTGGAATGGTTTGGGAAGGAATAGAGCTATGACTTTTCCAAAGGAGGTGTGTCACAGGGTTGGGCTTTGAGACTTCAAAAACCTCTAACCATGTCCATTGTGCACTCTACCTCCTGCTTGAGGTTCAGATGTGAACTCTAAGCTTTTCTTTCTGCCATGTGTTTACTGGGCCTTCATAGACTCAAACCCAGTGGCACTTTTAAGCCCAATTAAATGCTTTTTTTTTTATAAATTGCCTTGGACATGGTGTATTTCATCACAGCAATAGAGTAGTAACTATACAGAAGTTTTCTATGGGAAATCAGAATACAGAAAAGTCACCCCTTCCAATTATTGAAACCAAGGAGGAGTTTGTTCTAACTTTAGCTCTAAAGCAGTTAGCATCTGTCCCAAGCCTTTGAACATATGAGTGATCCCAAGATTCACACGTTTAGATGTCTATGAAGAAGCAACCCTGTTAAGAACACTCTCCTTTATTCTAACCAGACCAATATCAAATTACTTAAAAACTCTGTCTTCTATAAAAGATGGTCTAAAGTTTGGAATTTATCTATCTATCTATCTATCTATCTATCTAAGTATTTATTAAACACTCAGTATGTATTACGAATTATATTATATGTAGGGAACAAAGGTCAACTGAGATTCCAAACTAGACCTAGCCTTAAACAAAGAAAACAAATCAAAATTATATACATCTTTTAAACATTTTTAGGTCTTTTTGAGATGGGTCTTACTTTGGAAGTGACTGTGTCAACCAGCATGGTCTCAAATTTATGAATAGCAGCCTACTTTTGCTCCCGTTGCTGAGATTAAATGGCATGTGCTAGCACGTTTGGCAATATCCATTTTTTGAAAATGATTTATGGGCACCAGTGGCAGACACCTGAGATGACTTTAAGAGGAATTATATTGTCTCAATGCTCCAATGCTCATTTTCCTGTATGTTACTTGGTTTTGTTCTTTTCCTCTGTGTGTGTGTGTGTGTTGACTATGTCGCACATGCTTTAAAACTCACAGTGATCTTCCTGCTGTTGTGTCTGGAATACTGGTATTAAAGAATGCACTACCACAAACAGCTTGAAAAAGAAGTTTTATAGTGCAAGTTGTCTTGTTATTTTTTATTTGTTTGTTCATTTTACAAGTTCATTTTTTGTTGTTATTTTATGTGTATGGGTATTTTCTTTTACTTGTGTCTTTATACCCCATTTATACATGGTGGCCAAGGTGGCCAGGAAATGGTGTTTGAACCCCTGGAACTGGAGTTAACAGATAGTAGTGAGCTTCCATATGTAATTTGGGTGCTCTAGAAAAATCTTTAGTGCTTATAACTGCTAAGGTATTTT